TTTAAAAAACCCGAAAATTTTGGGGTTTCCAGACATAATGGGGAAAAATTTGTGCTTACGGAAACTCACAGGAATGAAAAAAAACCAGGGTTTGGGGGGGGGGTGACCATATTTTGAAAAATCAGGGGGGGGACCGTAGAGGGGAGTTTTGGTTCCCCTAATTTGAAATGACCGTTATTGGGGAAAATCGTAAAGCGAAACGCCGTTTTAAAGGGGGGGCCCTACTGTTTTTTGTAAAAGGTTGGGGTAAGGATAGATTAAAGAGTTTATAGTGTTTAAATAGTGCCATTTTGGGCACCCAAAAAACCATATTTTTTGGAAAAGGGTTCCCCATTTTTTTTGTTGACTTTCTTGGGGTATATACTGGATTTTTTTTTTTTTAAAAAGGGCGGGGGGGTTTCCCCCTGAAGGGAGGGGACCCCAAAAAAAAAAAGAAAATCCCCAAAAAAAATACTTTCATCATCATTCAACACTTCACCTCACTCAAGCATAATCATTTTTTCAGAGGGGCCCCAAAACAACAGTTTAGAAGCAAAATATGAAGATATATAACATATTTCCCCTTTCCAAAAATGCCAGGGATCCCAAACATTGTTTTACCAAAATTTTCCCGTATCCCGGTCCCGGGTATGTAAAAAAAAACTGTTTTTTTTTTTTGCAGAGGGGCTAAAAAAACACATTTTTTGAAGTAAAATTTCTTAAAAGTGGAACCCCCGCCCCAACGATATTAAACAGTTCCTGAGAGCTTTAACATTAAGCGAAATTATCGTTAGGGCAAATTAATTTTTTCCCATAAGAAATAATGGAAATCAAATTAAACCATTTCCGACCCCTCCAAAGTATGAAAAAAAAAAAATTTTTTCCACATGAAAAATTAATTTTTTAAAAACACACAAAATGAAGAAAAACATGGGCAATTAAAATTACCTTACCTTTTTTTGAAGATCTGGTGATGATTGAGGGATTTGGGGGGAGGGGGGATGTGGATTATTTAAAAGTTTAGAAGGGGAATCCTCTTCCATTAGGACTTTGGGGTCAAGGGCCTTTTCCAGGGTTACTTCCCTTTTTTTAAAAGCCACTTTGGACCACTTTTAGAAATCATTGGACCTCTGTTTACACCCAACCCAAACTGTCCTAGGGCCCGTACCCCCCCGTTCCTTTTTTGGGCTTTTCCTTTAAAAATTTTTAAACATTTTAGTGAAAAAGGGCCCCCCCGCACGGGTTGCAAAAAGCCCGTGTAGGGTGTTTTTTATCAAAAAAAAGGGTTTGCACTTTAAGCCACATTGCCACCCTTTCCTTTAAACTTTTAAAGAGGCAACTTCTTTCCCAAATTTTTCTAAACCCCCCCCCCCGAAGCAGTTTCCTCAGGGCTGGCCTCTTGCTGTTGAAGATGAACTTGCAAACTCATCAGTGTTTTGTTCTTCTTGTCCTCCTCCACCAAAATCTTCCACATCCCCCCCCACTAACCCCAACCCCCAAGGGGCTTTCACCAATGCCACAAGGATTTCCACAAAATGGGCTTAAAGGTTTCTCAGGGGGTTTGCCTCAAAACCCTTTTAAAAACCCTTTTGGCTACACATTCTTTGGGCCCAGTTTTTTTCCCCAAAAGAGTTTTAAAAGGGCCCCTTATCCTTCCCCCCCAAGCCTTACCCATAATGTTTACACAATTGAGGTGCTAAAAATGAAATTTCTCCAAAACTCTCTTTAGAGTCAGTTTAGTTTCGAGGTCACTACAAAGGGACTTTTTTAAAATAACTTTTGTGTAGAGTTTTTTGAAGTTTTTTTGTGACCTGCTGGGCCATGGGACTGCAAGGAGAGGAGTGGTATTATGAGGAAAAAAAATGACCTTAATTTAAGCTCTTTCTCCCAAAAAGTCGGGTTTTGGGCCCCGTTGAAGGATGAACCCGGGAAAATTGTTTAATACCCGGAGGGCCCTTAAAAGGGCCAAATTTTTTTTTCCAGGAATAATTTTTCACAGTGGGGGCCCCAAAAGCCCTGGGGTAACCAGTCATAGAAAAAAGGGCTCTAGGACCCATGGGATTACTGTTTGCCCTCCACAGCAAAACACAAATTAGCCTTGAGGATATTTTTTTGCCCCGAACATGCTGGGGGTTTCCCGAGTGAACACCAATTAAAAGGGTTAAAATTTTCAAACACCACTAAACCCTTGGCACAAAATCAACCCGAGTAAAGGGCCCGTCTTTTATAAAGGGTTATGTCCCTTTAGTTTCCCCTTTTTCCCCCTGAGTAAAGAAAGGACCTGCTTGGCATTTTCTTCCAGAACAGGGCCTTTTTTATCAAAATAAAACCCCCTTGTTCAGGTTTCAGTCCCCTTTACTGCTATGTACTCCCTTTAAAAACCTGCACAAAATTTTTTTAGCCCCTTTTTTTGGGCCGAACTGGCAAACCTCACCATTTCCTTTTTCACACTATGGGTGCCCCCTCCCCTTCTTAAATCTCCCCAAAAAACCCAAACCCTTTGTGGCCTTAAAATTTACTCACTCATCAAATAGTTGCAGCATTTTTTTTAAATTTAAAACGTCATGCAACTTCCTAGCCTTTTTACATATGATGCTTTTAGAGACGCTATTTTCCTGCTAAACTGTTTTTTCCCAATTTTTCCACACCCAAAAGAGGGCTCTCAACATCTTTCCCTCACTTTTCATCTTTGTTTCGAAAACACAGTTAAACCTTTGGCAAGAAAAGCTTTTCCCTTTATTGTCTTTTGGGTTTGGGGGGCCCACAAAAGTAAAACGATGGGTTTATTGGGGTTTTTTTGTACAACCTTTTAAATAGGGCGGCGATTCGCACTCCATTTCATACTTTTAATGATCTTTTTTTTCATTTCCCATTGGAATTCCCACCCTTATTGGGGGTAAAGGTTGGCACTAGAAGCTTTCTTGGGGCCCATGGTCATTATTTTCCCGAAAAAGCACCCAAAAACATGTAATAATACGAAATTTTTCCCCGGTGTAAAAGGGTTGGAGGGTTCCGCGGGGGCTGGCTGGTAAAACCCGGCACGGGGGGCACATGTGAAAGGGTGGCTGAGGGCGCACAAAAGGGCCGTTCGGGCGAAAAATCGGTGAGCGGGTTTTTTTTTAATTTGGTATTTCGCGGCAAAATTTTGTGCGATTTAAAGGGAAAACGGGATGCGGATTAATCGCTATGTGAAAAGCCATCGTTAGCGGGGGGGCCCCCGTATTTCCCCAAATGGAAACTTTCAGGCCGGACGAATTGAGGGGCCACTGTATATTATAAAAAATATATAAGCCTTTTTTATACATGTTTGTGTAGTGTGATCTAAGTTAAGAATAGTAGCAAGACGTAACGAAATCTTGCATGTTTTTTTTAAAAAGAAAAAGACACCCGCAATCCCACCCTCACGTAAAAAAAATTACAGGGTTTTTGTTTTTACTCACTTGGCAGGAAAGGTAGTACCTCCCTCGGTTGCTGTCTACCAATCTACTAACCCGGCTCCCCCTACTACCCTCACACATGCTTGCGGAAATCCCAAAAACCCCCCCGCCCACCAAAAATTCCCTTTTCCCCCCCCCTCCAACCCCTTTCGAGGACGACCCCTAACCCCGGGCCCTTCCTTTCCCCTAAGAAATTTTTACGCTTTCCAAGGGCATTCTTCCTTTTACCCCCCATCTCTCTAAAAGACCAAACCACCTCAACAAACCCCCCCTCAAACCAACTGGGGCTAATATAAAATTTGCAAAACCCCACATATTTCATGTTTTTTTCATTTTTCCCGGGGGCATAGGACTAAACTCTGAAATAAAACAGGACCAACAGTGTTTTTGGGTTTAAAAATAGGGGCAATTTTTTATTTTTAAATTTTTAAAAAAAATTTTCAAAAAATTTATTAAATTTTTTGTAAAGAAAAGTACAGCACCATAATGACTAAACCCCCCTTTGTTACATTTTCCCCCCTTTTCTCCTTAAAATTCCCCTTTTTTTTTTTATCTTTCCCATATGTTTTATTCTGCCTTTCCTTTCTGGATTTAAAAATTTTTACAACTTTATATGCTAGTGTTTTCCCCTTTCCCCCCCACTTTTTTTTTTTTTACCTCAAACCTCCATCAGTCATTCCCCCTTTTTTTTACACATCTTTCCCTTCCCATAACTACCAACTTTTTCTTTCATCTGGCAATTTTCATTCTGGGACATGTCCTTGACCAAAACAAAATAAACTTACTCCTTGTCAGTTTGGTTTCAGACCCGAAAAACACAACTGAGGCAGTATTTAAAATAATTGGGCAGTTTATTCAGCACTTTTAAAAAGAAGAGTATCCTGTTTTAAAAACCCTTTATTGATCTGCAGAAGTATTTTGATCTGTTTTTATAAATCAAGATGTTTTTTTCAGCATAACATAAAATTTTTTTACAGAGGCGAAAGACATTTAAATTGTCATGCCGAAAGCCTGAGGACTCAGACGGACGAAAGGTTCGAGATGAATCACATTGGTCGAGTTTTTCATTGTTGGCCGCTCCAAATTTTTTATGCTCAAGTGCTTCGTTGGGTGAATTTATCATTAGACGATGCCTTTGTTAGCCGAGGGTCCACTGTACATTACAACATTTACTCTGAACATTTTTTGAACTTAAAATTTGAGTTCTTATATTAGCTTTAGTTCTGAGTAAAGTACTGTGTATCGCAGGGGCTCTACATTAATACAGTAGTTTACTCATTAAATTTTAAAGTTTTTCTAAACATTTATACTTATCACATACTGTATTAACTTCAGTTTTGTTATTATCTTGATCACTTTCCAAACACTGAAAATAGTGAACCCTTATCATTGCTTCAACTTCCAGCTCAGATTGCTAAAAATATCCATTAGTTCTGTATTATGTATGTTGCTACCACCAACCTTTTATTTAATATTTAATTTTCCCATGAAACCAATTATTTTAATATTTATTTTGTTATGCTCTGTCTATACTACTCATTGTTCATTTATAGACCAGTGTTTACCTTTATAGTTATTGTTACTATACTACCTAAATCTCCATTCAGAGTGCATCTGGTGCCCGGCAACTGTTAAAACACATTGACCCTAAGCTGGGGGAACCAATGGAAGAGAAAGATTATGGAGGAAACTGTCGCTTGTATGATCATGAAAGCCCAGAAGATCCATATCATAACATATGGGTGAGTAGACCTCATTGCTTAACTATGTTTTGACATTACTTTTATGCTAAGCAGTATTTATTGTATTCATTTCATTCAGTAATAAATACACCTACCATCTGACTTACGACCTGCTCGACATACGTCGACTCGACTTACGACCGTGAATCTGGCAGCTTGGCTGGGCCGGCTGATGCATACCGCTGTACAATATTTGATGATACTCGTGGCGGCAATTCGCCATGCAGGCAGCATCAGTTTTGAGTTACCCTGCCCTATCAGCAGCATCATACTGTATTAACCCGTAAACAGTCCAAACGTATATATACGTTCTCTACCATAGTGTCCCAACGTTTTTGAGAAAAAAAAAATCGTTTTTTTTTTAATAGGAAAAAAGAGCATATGGTACCCAGGCATCTCCAATTATTTTAATATGGCACACAGTGAGCGCACACCCATTCTCTCATGTCTAGGCAACTCAGGATTATCTTGGCAATGTTGAATGTATGACAAATAAAATGTATATATACGTTTGGGGCACTAGCGGTAAAAACGTATATATACGTTTGGACCGTTTACGGGTTAACTGTACTAACTGGACAGTAAATTTCACCATGGTCCCTAAGAAGACGTCTGAATCTTGCGCTGGAGATTGTGGCAAGAAGGCAAGAAAGGCTCTTACTCTTGAACACTCTTTATTTGTTTTCACTGTTGCACATAAACCTGTCTGTATCTGTCTGCCTGTATATCTGTCTGTCTGTCTATCTGTCTAGATCTGTCTGCTTTTCTGTCTTTATATCTTCCTATGTGTGTCTGTCTGTCTTTCTGTCTGCTTGTCTCTGTCTCAGAGCTGCTCATGAACCAATAGGTATTACACATGAAGCAGAGTTGTCACATCTTCAGTATGATGCTAATATCACTATACAGCTTATTTATCTATCACAATTCATCTGATATGACATAATAAACAATATAAATAACATAAAGACCTGATATACACTTTAGAATGAATAAAATATGAACTTAACTACTTTAAACTCCACATCTTGCACCTGTGCTGGTGTGCAGCTATACATTAAAATCATTAAGAGTGTGTTATTGGTCTTGAAAATGCCATATTAATAATGATAATAACACAATAATAATCAGTCTGAGGTGCATTAAATGTGTATAAAACGTTAATATTGACATTTTGCTTAATCCATCTATGATTTTTTTTTCAAAATTACAGTGGACCCCCAACATTCAATGGCATCGACATTCAATAAATCCAACATTCGCTGCATTTTAATGTAAAAATTTCGCCTCAACATTCGATGGAAAGCCCGACATTCGATACAATTTGTACGAGACGTGTCCACGTGTGGCCTGAACTGCACAGTGTGTGCCACTGTTTACAAGCCAGCCAGTGTACGCGCATCTAAGGATACATTCAGTACATTCCATATTATCACTGTTTTTGGTGCTTGTTTCTGCAAAATAAGTAACCATGGGCCCCAAGAAAGCTTCTAGTGCCAACCCTTCGAGAGAAAAGGTGCTAATGACTATTGAAATGAAGGAAGAGATAATTGCAAAGTACGAAAGTGGAGTGCATGTGTCCGGAGTGCATGATGATTTGGTAAAGAAATTGCCTGCAACTAGTGGTGATGTGAGTGAATTTAAGGCCAGCAAAGGTTGGTTTGAAAGATTTAAGAATCGTAGTGGCATACTCAGTGTGGTAAGGCATGGTGAGGCTGCCAGTTCAAGTCCTAATGGAAGAGGATTCTCCTTCTAAACACTAACACCATCCACACACTCCCCTCCTCCCATCCCATCAATCATCACCAGATCTTTATTAAAGGTGAGTGTCAATTATTCTATTGTTATTAATCTATTGTTATTGTAATTATTCTATTGCATTAAACTTAATATTTCATTTGGTAATTTTTTTTTTTCATACTTTAGCGTGTCTTGCACGGATTAATTTGATTTCCATTATTTCTTATGGGGAAAATTAATTCGACTTTCGATATTTTCGATATTCGATAGCTCTCAGGAACGGATTAGTATCGAATGTCGAGGGTCCACTGTATATAATAAACATGCTACGTAACATATAAATTAACATAAATATGAGATGTTTTTCCAGTCGGCTTGATAGAGTGAACAGAAACCATTTGTATCCAGGCTGGTAACAACAACAACAAATGGTTTGTTTACAAAACTTGAAAACCTTGTACACTCACATTCTCTCATTTATTCATTTAATCTTGTTTACTCACCTCTCACTCTACATTAAGACTACGGATATTTTAAAGTAAGTAATGAGTGAACACTATTATTATTATACAGTGGACCCCCAGTATTCGATGGCATCGGTATTTGATGCATTTTAACGCAAAAATTTCGCCTCGGTATCCGATCGAAAACCCGGTATTCGATGCGATTCGTACGAGACGTGTCCACATGTGGCCTGAACTGCCCCGTGTGTGCCAGTGTTTACAAGCCAGACAGTGTGCGGGCATCTAAGGATACATTTAGTACATTCCATATTATCACTGTTTTTGGTGCTTGTTTCTGCAAAATAAGTCACCATTTATTTATTTATTTATTTATTTATTTATTTATTTATTTAGTAATTTTAGCATACATACAGAGGTACAAAAAATACAGGTAAGAGCAGCATGCCAAAGCCACTTATATGCATAGCATTACGGGCTGGCTTAAAATTAACTTAAGATTAACTAAGCAATGATGAAATCAGTGATAAAACATTATTGTAAACAGATAACTATAAAGCACAAATGAGTATTACAAAGACAGGTCATATGGTTGCTTGCATTGCTGTACATTCAGTCGAATGGAGTATTCTGTTAGGTAGTGTATTTAAAAAAATAACAAAGTTAGATTGGATCCTAGGTTTAACATTTGTGTGATATAATTGTGAGTAACATATAGGATATACAATTTATAAGGTTCAGTTATTCAGTATTTATTTGGTTTTGAGTAAGTGATCTTTGAGAAAAGACTTGAATTTATAAACAGGTAGTGTTTCTTTTATATTTACAGGTAATGAATTCCAGATTTTAGGGCCTTTTATGTGCATTGAGTTTTTGCATAGCATGAGATGGACACGAGGAACATCAAAGAGTGATCTGTGCCTTGTGTTATGGTCATGTGTTCTGTTGAGGTTGGCAAGGAGATGTTTGAGGGGAGGGTTAATATCAGAGTTAAGTGTTCTATGTATGTAATAGGTGCAGTAATAAGTATGGATGTTTTGTATGGTGAGTTGGTTGAGTGTTTTGAATATTGGTGGAGTGTGCTGCCTGTAGTGAGAATTTGTTATCATTCTAACTGCAGCCTTTTGTTGGGTAATTAGTGGTCTGAGCCCCATGCACAAATTCCATAGGTGAGATAGGGGTAAATAAGAGAGTGATAAAGGGCCAGGAGGGCTGACTGTGGAACATAGTACCGTATCTTCGATAGTATGCCTACAGTCTTGGAAATTTTCTTAGAAATTTGTTGTATATGTGTATGAAATTTGAGTCTATTATCAAGGTGGATTCCTAAGAATTTTCCCTCTGTTAGCTTTGTGATAGGTGATCTGTTTATCGTTATGTTAAGAGGTACCATGGGCCCCAAGAAAGCTTCTAGTGCCAACCCTTCAAGAAAAAAGGTGCACATGACTATTGAAATGAAGAAAGAGATAATTGCAAAGTACGAAAGTGGAGTGCGTGTGTCGGAGCTGGTCAGGTTGTATAGTAAACCCCAATCAACCATCTCTACTATAGTGACCAGGAAAACGGCAATCAAGGAAGCTGTTCTTGCAAAAGGTGCAACTGTGATTACGAAACAGTGACCACAAGTGTTAGAAAATGTTGAGAGACTGTTATTGGTGCGGATAAATGAAAAACAGATAGCAGGAGATAGCATCTCTCAAGCGATCATTTGTGAAAAGGCTAGGCAGTTGCATGACGATTTGGTAAAGAAATTGCCTGCAACTAGTGCTGATGTCAGTGAATTTAAGGCCAGCAAAGGTTGGTTTCAAAGATTTAAGAATCATAGTGGCATACATAGTGTGATTAGGCATGGTGAGGCTGCCAGTTCGGACCAAAAAGCAGCTGAAAAATATCTGAAGGAATTCAAGGATTACATAGACAGTGGAGAATTTAAACCTGAACAAGTGTTTAATTGCAACAAAACAGGCCTGTTTTGGAAGAAAATGCCAAGCAGGACCTACATCACTCAGGAGGAAAAGGCACTCCCAGGACATAAGCCTATGAAAGACAGGCTTACTCTGTTAATGTGTGCCAATGCTAGTGGTGATTGCAAAGTGAAGCCTTTATTGGTGTATCACTCTGAAACTCCCAGAGTGTTCAGGAAAAACAATGCCCTCAAGGCTAATTTGTGTGTGCTGTGGAGGGCAAACAGTAAGGCATGGGTCACTAGGGACTTTTTCTATGACTGGTTACACCATGCATTTGCCCCCACTGTGAAAAATTACCTAATTGAAAAGAAAGTAGACCATAAGTGCCTCCTGGTATTAGACAATGCCCCTGGTCATCCTACAGACTTGGCAGAGTGACTTTCTGGGGACATTAGCTTCATTAAGGTCAAGTTTTTGCCTCCTAATACCACTCCTCTCCTGCAGCCCATGGACCAGCAGGTCATTTCCAATTTCAAGAAACTGTACACAAAAGCTATGTTTCAAAAGTGCTTTGTAGTGACCACAGAAACTCAACTGACTCTAAAAGAGTTTTGGAAGGATCACTTTAATATCCTCAATTGTATAAACCTTATAGGTACGGCTTGGGAGGGAGTGACTAAGAGGACCTTGAACTCTGCTTGGAAAAAGCTGTGGCCAGAATGTGTAGACAAAAGGGATTTTGAAGGATTTGAGGCTAACCCTGAGAAGCCTATGCCAGTTGAGGAATCCATTGTGGCATTGGGGAAGTCCTTGGGGTTAGAGGTTAGTGGGCAGGATGTGGAAGAGTTGGTGGAGGAGGACAATGACGAACTAACCACTGTTCACATATATGTTT